GTCATCGTCTTGCGACACATCCTCCAGATTGTCTCTCGGGAACGCGTCCAAGATGCACGTGTCCGTGCGCAAGATCTTGACGGTCCCTGAGAAGAGGCCCACTTCGATACCCATCCCGTCATCCACGATGAGGTCGGGCTCGGCGACGGCCATCGCACTACGCGTCCGCTCAAGCGGGTGGCCTTGATCAGCTATAGCGTACGTCGCCCCGGCCTTGAGCACGGCAAGGATCCAGCACAACGTAGAGAAGCCCCGCTTCAAGTGCAACAGCACGACATGGGTGCGGCCCATTCCCAATTGGCGCAGCGCTGTAAAGGAATGAGACCTCGGGGCCACACACGGGGGGACAATAAACGGACCGTTCGCCATCTGATTCGCGCGCTCATTCATCTCTCCATACGTCATGGACTCGTCTCGCTCCGCACAACTCATGGCAACCGCGGCGGGATTGCGAGCGGCCTGGTGCTCGAACATGGCATGGAAACGGCGCTTGCTGACCTGGCCCGCATCGGTCGTGTCGATAGGCGGCATCAGACATGGGATGCGGCTCCCCAGAAGCGGTTGGAGATCGAAAGGCGTCTCTGCCATGGCTTGGGCCACGATCCGTTCAAAGTCGACTTTGAGCGCCGCAATCGATTTCTGGTCGAACAGCGTCGGGTCGTAGATGACCTGGAACAGCCTTATGAGTTTTACGGTTGAATGACCAGCAGATAGACTCACTCCGAGAGAGACGCTGTCAGCGGCCTCCAGAAAGCAGAAGAAGAGATCATATGGGCCCTCGACGGGGTACAGCTCACACTCCTCGCGCTCTAGCTTCGGAGACAGCGTCACCGCAACCTGCGCCCGCGGCGGCATGCAGCCCTCCTCGAGGCACGCCTGCGACAGATCCGTGAACGAGAACCGCTCATGTTTCTTCGCAGTCGACACGGTGGTCGAGAGCAGGCGGAGCAGCGCGTCGAAGGTGATGGTGGACGATGATCGGATCAGATGAGACACCGGGACCCGGATGGGGAGTGCGTTGGCGAAATGTCCCACGGTTCGATCAAGACCCTTGGGACGGCCGCCGAACGCCACCGTCAGCGTCTGATCGCGGGACGAGCCTGCGATGGAGTGCGATTGGGTGAGGAGTGCGACCACGGCCAGCGCGACCCTGAACCACGACGTGCGATGCCGCGCGCTCCATTGCGCCAGTTGCTGCGTGACATCCGGTCAATCAACTGGAACACCGGGGAGGTAACACGCGCACGCACGTCTTTGCTGAACTCGGACCATCTCGCAATCTCACGGTAGTTCTGGGACTCGGGCACCTTGGGCACGCCTTTCCACTCGATCGACGAGGTATTCCGGCTTTGCGAGAGCCAGAACTCCTTGGCCAGCTGGAACGCACCGGATCCTCGGAACACAGACTGCACCGGATCAGAATTCATTAAAGAATGAGGAATGATCAAAAAAACGCACCTCCATCATATGAGCCTTTTGGAAAACCTCGCCGATCGGCTTGCTCTCCTCCGCCTTCCCGTCGAGCAGACACAGGAGCTCACCACTGAGCTCGCTCATGCTCGTTCCGTCCAGGGCAATGTGATGCGCAATCACATATACCTCGATGGCGCCTTGGAGCTCGACGACGAGCCAGCGCACAGCAAACTCTTCCGACAGCGGCACAGCCTGGTGGAGCAGCTTTTGCAAATGCATTTTGGCGATGGCCGTCTTCGGCTCCGCGACGATTCGGACCGACGGCAGCGCGGACTGGGCGTCCCACTCCGCGACGAATGGGCGGGACAGCACCGACTTGTTGCCGTGGAAGGTGGACCGCAGTATTCCGTGACGCGCGGTGAGGGTCTGGATGCCTGTGATGTCCAGTGAGTGCACAGTCCGAGGCTGAGATCGCCGATGTCCTCACCCGCTAGAACTTTCTCCATCGAGTAGGTGTCCGAGGATGCCAATGTGAATTTCATTGTCAAATTGTACAGGGTGTGCTGTGGCTGAGCAGAGTAAGCCATCCAGATCCCCTCTTGAGCTCTGGTCATGGGGTAGACGGAAGTCACACTGGCATCGAGTTCGGTACGTGGAGAGTGGGTGGGAGGAACCACAGGGCCAGTGATGAGCTGCATTTCGTGCGGAAGCGCTTAGCGAGTAATGAGAGGAGGGGACTTTTTTGGTCTATCGAGCCAACCTACAGACCCATAGTTTTAAGCGATCATCACTAGCGCTGCATCCGTAAAGCACCGAACAAACATCAGATCTCGCTGCAAAGGCTTTCAGAGCGAAGAAGCGAGTCGATGAGGAACCTTTCTCTGCACCATATGCAATGCGCAATGCATCAAATCTCAGAAGACATTCGAAAGAACCAGCTGTGGACAAACGTCATGCGCTTACTTCAGATGTCACATCCATCTCCGAAAAGCGATCCACCATTTGAGCGTCGCCAAAGTTTTCGGATGCTCTGCGCAGTAGCAGACGGACACCGCCTTTTCGCTAATAAATCAGCGCGGAAGTTGTGATGATAAGCGCCGACCAGCACCTAAGAGCTGCCTCGTCGTTTACGAGGATTCGTATTTCTGTATAGCACGCAATTCCGCCGGCGATTCACGTACGATTATGCACCGCCGACTTCAGCTCCGAATCCTTCTGCGTTCCGCATACCAGCTTCACCGAGAGTCCGCGCGATGTCATCAACGAGCGCAAGGAGGGCCGAAACCCATCTTGTTCTCACATGCAGCGTAGGCTCTTGCGGCATGGTGTCTTGCAGCTCTAGTGTTCTGTCACGGACGTGCGTATGGGATATGAAAATTATGATGTCAGGCTCCGGGTTTCTGTCCGTCGGCTATGGAAGGAAGCACGAGTTTGATAGGGATCAGCAACCAACATCCGTGAAAGGCATTTTGTATGTCCGATGGTGCGCGCATCCTGCCCTTCCCTGCGACTCGAGGACATTCCAGACCGCCGAAGACTCTGGACCCGCGGAGGAAGCAAGAACTTGTTGAGTATTCGCTGCTGTAGATACCTGGACTCGTAGCGGGCCCTATTCCGTTGCCATCCCGATCACATTGGAGATCGAGCCGAATTTCTGTGCTGATCGTGAGGCACACACATGGAGTGAGGACAGGTGACTTCGCTTTGCGCTTTTCGTCGTGTATCGAGATCTGGTGGTAGCTGGACCGGAACATAGAACTCAAATTCATCACTCCGATCTGATTGAGACAAGTGGGCGGAAACCGGATCACGGATGTGCTGCAAGGTACAGGGTAGACATCGATTGGAACCCCGAAGCGTGCAACCTCCCTAACCGGAATCCGCGCACCGCACGGTCTGGAAGAGCATAGCTGGACATTGGAATAGATCTGCCTCAATGGCGTCATGAAGAAGGCTAGCAGCAGAAAGGGCAATGTATTACAATCAGCACCTGAAACACAGCTCCATAACTGCAACCACCGTCTGAGCTCTCAATTTCGTAGCAGAATGGTCACAAAAAACCGCACGAGTCATGATAATCCAAAGAGCTAGAGCGGTGACTCCGCCCACTTGCAAGACCTTATGACTGTCATGACACGATCCGCGTGGCTGGACCTGCTGCGCGAGATCAGAATCTGCTTCGGCCGAAGACTGGATTCAGCAAGGAAAACGCCGATCGCTCCGACGGAGACTGCGCTCCGCCCATTCTCTCATTATAGTGAACGGATCAAAGAAACAACCTAGACTGGACTCCCCGAGATGCAAGCAACCGGCGCACGAGAAACAACGCTCTGTCTTGACCAATGGATGGAATCGAGGAGCTTCTGGCCATTTGCCAGATCCTTATTCTGCATGGATATTGCATGAATATGCGCCCAAATTTGTGCATTTGTCACGAAAATGAGCACAACCGGGCCTGCAGTGGTCAAGAATAGCTCGAATGTCCCCGTGAGCTAGAACCACAGAAGGATCTATCGACAGCAAGGGTTCTGCGTTCGGCTCGGCACCTGTATCGTGCTCGATGGGCCGAAGCACGGCTTCTTGAGGAGTGTTGGGAGTGTTTATCTGGCGCACACCGGGCCAAAAGCAAGCTGCTATGCGTCAGCCTGGCTCAGCCTCATTTGAGATCGAATACATTTGTCCACAAGTATCTCGTTGCCTGAAGCTGTTTCGAGAGTTCAGATAATTGTCCGACCCGGAAGTGCATTAATTCCGAGCGATTGCCGGCAATGCTCGTAGAAGACGCAAGCATCAGGACTACCGCTGTTTCCTCTACCAAGTTTCCGAACAAAATAGATTCCTGAGGCCATTCGCACTTCCCTGTCGCAATATCAGCTGTCTGTCCTATCTTTAGAGGGGTGATAGTCTCCACGACACCCTCCCTTTGGAGCCTACCGCACACCGATCTCGGCCTCGAACGACCATTAGAAACATCCCTAAATCACGCTTGGAAAGAGGTGTCTGTCACCACGGAGCTTGGACCGAGCAACGATGCAAACGGTAGGAGCACTCGAGCCAGTTGCGCTACGGCATTGCTCTGCCATAGTGTATGTAACGCCGAGCTAGGTATGTCCCCCAAACGCTTGTCTTCAGTTCCTTCATTACTTCGCAAGTCGTTTCTGAAGTCGTACGCTGGTAGCGCATGTGAAACTTGACGTACCGATGAACCAAACAAGTTTCCGGCTGACCGGGAGTGGGAAATGTGAGTTCGGGGATTTTTCCAACTACCGGTCGCTCCACCTAGACATGCGGGACGCAATTGTTTTGGCACCAGGCGGCAACGTTGACCGGGAAGACGGGAAAGATCGAGGACCGCGGCACACGTGCCACGCGAAGCTGTCAAACCAGCTCAGCAGCTTCCAGAAAGGGGAATTTCACACGGAAACGCCTTGTCAGTTCCTCCCGTCTAAGCATTCAATGGAAACATGTAGGCAAGGCAAATGTACAATTATCAAGTCCAGTATCACATAGACGGGGTTACCGGTCGCGGTCAGAAATCCTCGGCGCACAAGGCGGAACTGCAAGCCGAGATGGGTCGGGTGCACATGTCAAGTCGTGGCAACTAGACTTCAGAGTCACGTAAGTCCTCTTTTGTCGCTAGGCCTCATTTTTCAGTTACTAGACCTTCTCCGAGGCCAGGGTCTCTCACGACATTTCTTTCTCCCCACATCTTTCGCAATGCCTGCCGATTCAGATACTCAAACAATGTCGTCGACCATCGGCCCCGATCTCCCAGTTCACTCGACGACTTCGAATGCCCCGGGACGCGACTTCGGGTTCCTGCCTGTGCCTCGGTGCGCCCATCTGGGTAGCTCTGGCGAGATTGGTTATGCTAGAGTCCTTGCGTTTGCAGTCGCGGCTACTTTCAGTGAGTGTCCCCGCGTTTCCGTTAGGACCAATGTACTGACCGGGTTCAAAGCTGGTGCGCAGATCGAACATTTCTCTCTCTCTTTGATAGTCATATTTTCTCCCCTTAGCAATGAATTTGTACTACTGCCAACCCATTCTCGGTGCGTCATATTCCGAGGGCCTTGATTCAAAATGTATGACCTACTTTGGCAGTACAACTTGCGGAAGCGTTTCAAGTCGACGACTTCCAAGTCTCTCGAATTCCGATTCTTCTCCAGGCTGGGCAATTATATTTTCTATATTACTTCCAATCTCATCTGATCCGACATTCCAGATACGCGACGGGTTTGCTATTCATCGCACCGCTAGGCGACATATTCCATCGGCGGCAGCTCGTTCTGATTCTGATTCTAATTTCGGGAGCCCTCACTGTCGGTCTCGCATTGACGAGCTCATTGATCGCCTTTGAAGTCCTTTCTTTCTTGACAGCAGTCGCCACCGTGACCCCTCAGGTACCGAGTTTTTTTTTATACCTCGCTCAGCGTCCGCCGCTCATATAGATCTTGCAGGTCCTGATCCCTCTCACTGCGGATCTGGCTCCAGCGAACCGGCGGGCAACCTTCATCGCCCTCGTCCTTGCAGGGCTTCTCACGGGTGTTCTCGTTGCCCGTGTTTTCGCCGGGATCATCGCGCAATATTCATCATACCACAATGTCTATTGGATGGGTGCCGGCGGTCAATTTTTCCTCGCCATCGTCCTCTATCTGATCACGCCACCTGTCCCGGTCAAAAACACCGGCCTATCATACTGGCAGATCATGAAGAGCATGGCGAAATTTGCAGTGACCGAGCCCATCCTGATTCAAGGATGCATCATCTTTTTCTGCGGCGCAGCGATATTCTCCGGATTCTGGGTTACCATGACTTTCCTTTTGGACGGCGAACCCTATAACTATTCACCGTGGGTCGTGTTTCGCTCTCACGTGTAATCCTCTCGCTCAGATCTTGAAGTTTGGTCATCGGAATATTCGGTGTCGTCGGACTAGCGGGAATATGCATGTCACCGCTCATCGGACGGGCGGTAGACAGCCTTGTGCCCTGGGCTGCGAGCTTTGTTGCCATATGTTTCGTTCTGTCGTCTCAGATCATCGAGACGTTTGGCGCCGAGAAGAATATTGCCGCTGTTATTATTGCGACGCTGAGTACGGGGACATTTTCGATCATTTTCATTATTCTTGATCCTTTCACAGTTCTCGATGTCGGTGCTCAAGCTACTCAAGTCTCAATGACGACAGTCATTTTCGGGTGCAGACATATTTCCATTCGAAACGCCATGCTATGACTCACTGTTTTTTCTTTGCATCTAGAATTGACCCACATGCTCGGGCGCGTTTGAATACCCTGCTCGTTGGATCCGTCTTTCTCGGGCAGGTCACTGGAACTGCTGTTGGAACTAAACTATATGTTTCTGGCGGATACAAGCTCTCCTCGGGCATCCGCGTCGTCTTTGCTGGAGTTGAGCTTCTCGCGCTTCTGGCAAGAGGCCCCCATGTCCCGAGGTACACTTGGGTCGGATGGGCGGGCGGCATGAAACTTCGGAAATCGTCGCCAGCGCCACCGATAGAGGCAGAAATCACGGAGGCGGAGCTTAACTCCGGCGGAAAGAACCAGTAATTCATGAAATAGAGTGTATTTTCAGCCCCTCAGCGAAGCAGTGCAGGACTTTGATCTCTTGGAAAGCTGGAGGAACATGAGCCGCCGCGCATCGCACATAGTTCCATCGGGCGGGGGGAGACCGAGAGTCGGCAACGCCATGAATCAGACTTTTTCAAAGGATGTATACCATCATTGCTCTGCGCATGTACTGCGGCTCAGCGAGTAATACCCGAAAGAGAGACATAGCGGGCGATGCTATCCAACCATTTATCCAATCGCTTGATTTTGATCTCTAATAGCGTCATTTTGGGGGTCTGCCAAAAATACAGCATCTTCGGGCACATCTTCTCGGGCGAACAAGGCTCAATTTGCCGTAGTTTGAGCGCAGAGAGAAGATTGCGTACCGTATTCGCAATGTGGAGCTTTCTGACTCAGTCTCGAATCCGGATCCTCGGTCCTCGGTAATCACGGTGTCTCCGAAAAGCAGGGAGGGACAATCGGAGAGGTGATCGATCAGTCTCACGATCGGACACGGAGATCCAGATCAGAGTTTTTCGAGCTCCCGAAATCTTTATCATGCCTATGATTTCCCTCGCCTTGTGGTCGATCTTCATCGGAGCAAGAACGATCGATGCCGTTCACTCATGTGCAGGCTGCTGCACTGGGACCAGTGGAAACTAATCACGCAGAGATTTCGCTCATTGCGGCCCCCCTGTTGTACATCACTTCCCTGAACGGGCCGAAGCGAATGAGCAGAAGATACGTTACGAACTATGCCCTCATTGGGTTACATGAATCACGGCCGTGGTTGCGGTCGAATGTACTACTGACTTACTCGCGCGTGTTTCGGCCGAGACTTGGCCATTTGATTGGTCAAATGCTAACTAAAAATGGCATCCACCTATTTCTGGATCGAGCTAGGGAGCCAGAGGGAGAAGTAAGCGAAACGGCTCCCCGGCGGATTTGGCATTGCATCCGAATCAGCGGTCTTCAATTTCGTTTCGAAATAGCCGGAAAGCTTCATGATAGTCCAAGAACCATTGCGCGTTCAAAAGCGCTTCTGCACACTCTGCTTTGAAGACAAAAGGAGATTGGAATACAACACCCTTCATCCGAGGGTTAGTTGCATGCAGACTTCTGTGACTCATTCACATGTGATACAACAATGATATGACGTTGTGAATCCATCAGAAAGCATCTCATTTCTCATTCACCTCGTCGCCATGTCTTTGAGAGATGATCGAGATCCGTACGCCAGTTCCGAACCCACATAAACACTCCCATGGATTGAACTCGACATCCAGAAACTCAACATCCCTGTAGTTCCCCTCAACATGTGGAAAGCACTGGCTGTTCTCGCTGTCCTTGGTGTAGCCCGGCTCACATGGCTCATCTACCGTCGCGCCGTCGTCAAGTCACCACTGCGCAATCTCCCAGGTCCTCCGTCCAAGTCGTGGCGGACAGGCCATTTGTCATATCTGTACAATCCCGCCGGGATGTCCTGGCACCACGATCTCACCCAGAACTACGGGAGCGTCGTCAAAATCAACGGCATCATGGGGGTCGGGCTCGCGTAGATTTCCGTGCACATAATCAAGGCTGACATTTGCGCAGGACGAGCACTTGTATGTTGCCGATCCACTGGCGCTCCATCAGATCACGGTCAAGGAGCAGGACGTCTTTGAACAGACAAAGATGTTCGTTCAGTGCGTACTTTCAGAGGCGCTGTGCCTGCCCATTTGCTCACAATCCACGTCGCAGGGGAAATGGAGTCATCTTCGGCGACGGTCTGCTCTCGACCGTGACTGACCACCATCGGAACCAGCGTCGCATCCTCAACCCGATCTTCTCCAGCAAGAACATGCGCGAGCTCTGTCCGGCTGTGTTTGAGGTCGCCAACAAAGTCAGTCGGTCGCGTCACACTGACTTTTGGCTCCCTGTCTGACTCCCGTGCTACCCCCAAGATGGTCCATCTCATCAACGTCAAGACCAAATCCGGCCCCGCCGAAATGGACATGCTCGATCTCATCATGAGGACTGCGCTCGAGGTCATCGGACAGGGTGGACTCGGCCACTCTTTCGAGGCGCTCGAGGAAGACCGCGATCCCAACACCGCCTTCAGGACAGCACTACGAGGCCTGATTCCGACCATCTTCTCGCTGCAGATCGAGCGCCAGATCCTGCCGTTCATCCTCAAGATCGGCACACCTGGCTTCCGGCGCTGGCTCGTCGACGTCACACCCAGCCGCCGGCTGCACAAGCTGCGCGACATCGTCGACGAGATGCACAGCACGACGCTGGCGATCTTCGAGTCCAAGAAGAAGGCGATGCTGATGGGCGACGAGAAGGTGCTGGAACAGGTCGGACACGGGCGCGACATCGTCAGCATTCTGAGTAAGTGACGAGCTGTGATCTCTAGCCGCTGGGCGCGTCCCTGACGAATGCATCCAGTGCGAGCCATGCACGGCGCTTCGACACAAGACGTGATGCCCGACGCAGAAGTCCTGGCCCAGTTGACGACGCTCGTTTTCACATCACACGACACAACTTCCTCGACGATCGCCCACATTCTCCACCTCCTCTGCATCTATCCCGACGTGCAAGACCGTCTCCGCGCCGAAATCAAGGACGCACTGGACACCTGGGAGAGGGAGCACGGGAACCGCGAACTCGGATACGACTTGCTGATGGAGCTACCTTTCCTCGAGAACGTCTGCCGGGAGACCCTCAGACTGCATGCCGCAGTGACCTTCATGACCCGCACGTAAGCCGCGAGCAGCTTTCGTCCACACAAGAGTCTCATCTCCCCTCAGAGCCCGCTCCGCTTCTGTTCTCCCTCTGCTCTATCCGCTGACCGGCACCGACGGCAGGACGATCACCGAGATTCCCGTCGCTGAGAACCAAAACGTGCACATTGGGATCGCAGCGGCGAATCGCGACCCGAAGATCTGGGGTCCCGACGCGAACGAGTGGAAACCCGATCGGTGGGCAAACGGTGTGCCCAAGAGCGCGGCCACCGCCCATCTGCCGAGCATCTACGCTGGTACGATGAGTTTCCTCGGCGGCGGGCGCGCCTGCATCGGCATCAAGTTCGCACAGTTGGAAATGAGTAGGTGATAACGCGCAGATGTGAGCGCACTCACTGATCCATCCATTGCAGAAGTGATGATCTGTGTTCTGCTCGACAACTTCCGGATCAGTCTCCCGAAAGAAGAGATCATATGGAAGCTGGCGAACATCCAGATGCCATGGACTGAGGGTGCCGCGGGCCCAGCCATGCCTTTGACGCTGCAACGTCTGTGACGTTTGGGAATGATTGCATGATTGTAGTAGATTGTAGTGACCATCACCTATGTAGTTTTCCGTCCGAAATCGAAAAACGAGGGATCACATGACACTGACAGCTGAGGAGAAAGCAAGGCCGAATCCAGGGTAACAATCGAGTGACATCAGTAACAATCAAGTGTAGTGACTCCGCCGTCAGCGCCCTCCGCTCATGCCCTCTTCCTCCGAGTCACTAAGTTCGGCTTCTCGGAGTCGGAGGAGTCGGAGGAGCGAGTCGGATTCAGCTCAGAAGTTGTCCTCATTGTCCCCGATGATGGCTAACACAGGATGTAGGTAGAAAGCGTACTGTACCAATTCAATCAATTCGACACCGGGGCCCGAATCTTTGCCCCGAAAAAATCCCAAAGAAATCTGAAAAATCGAGAAAGAATTAAATCCGGGGTTCACTGTATGTGAGGGTCTAGTTGACCACCCTGGCTAGTTGGCTGATCCGATTACTGAATGGGAACCGCTTGACTTGGGGTTCTGCAGTGTATGTAGGATGAAAGAGGGATACCGGATGCCCCTCGAACACAATTTTGGGCCCAATGGCATCAAGTCATTGTGTGGCAGGTGTGATTTGACATCAACATCGAGGACATACGGACCAATTTCTTATTTTGGCAGGGTGATTTGCTGACCAATCACGCTCCCACACCACCACCTCTGCCTTATCAATGGCAGTCAAGTGCTCGTCTCACTGTCAAGACCCAATGACACCCTCCGCCATACTTTTCTTCCTTTCATCTGCCTTCATACGCTCTCAACATTGCTGTCATCGGGCACATATGGGGAATGTCTTGGGTAAAAGGGTGTTATATTGAGCTGTGTGTGTCATAGTTCAACCCTTTTTCATCTTATCATCAACGATCTTATCTTATCTCGGCATGGATTATCTTATCACAGATCACGGCATCTGACGGTCCAGGCTAGGGGTCTAGGGTTTATCTTTATCGATTCAAGGCTGCGCAACATATGCTCCAGAAGATTCTACTACAACCCATGACCAGTGCTCCATGCGGTATGTAGCCTTATGACTCATTAGTTGTAGATATGACTCACACTGGATTTGGGTATAAATACTGTAGCTACTTGGTTGTATTCTCCAGTCTTCGAATTCACTTCTCTTTTCGACATTATTTCTTGTTGATTGTCACAGTGTGCTGTACATAATTGGGTGCAGGGTAGCTCTCAAAACTTTCCCTGTGCCATTATGGTGGTAAAAACCTTGCTTTTCTGCCCTCACATCATTTTTAACAAATTTATCGAGCCCTCGCCATTGCCGGAGACAACAGACACCTCATCTGTAGCGGAAATGTTGCATGACAGGAATCCCATGATAATTTGATTGGCATTTGACAGTGTTTGGCTGGCACAGCGTCCGATTGTAGTATATAGTAGTCTACCCCTGTGTGTTCGCTTTTCTTTGGTCCATCCTATCCTTATCCCTCTCAGCTCTGCCCTTCCATGTGGCGGAACCTCTCTGTACGGCAGCTTCCGTCACATATTTTTGAGAGCCTAGGCTTGACCTGTCGACGCTCCGTTTTCCGCACTCGACACTTGACTCACCACGAACCCCTGAACCTTCTCGAGGACAAAGCCTTGACAACAATACACCCTGAACTCAAAACCTTTGACTATGAGCAATCCTGGCAAACAACCCCACCGCTTTCACCCAAACACTCGAGCTGGGAATCCCCTACCTCCCTCTCGTGTCACCCCAGCTTCTGCTGCGCCCGATTCGGGGCCGACCACCAACGTTGCCAGGCCCCTGAGTGTCCAGGGTGACACTCCGGCTCCTCATCACCTTGACAACCGCGTGGCAATGGCCCCGTCAGCCTCCTGCGGTCGGCTGGCTTCCCCCAACTTGCTGTACAGTCGCGCAGGAATGCTGGTCGCTCCTCCTCCTTCCTCAGCCGTGGCAATGACTGTGGGGTCACCCCGGTTGCCACGAGACATCCCGGACTCTGGTCCGGCAAACCCAG